TGTTTTTTAAAAATATTTTATGATAATAAATCAAGACACACATTTAGGTAGATGTTATGCTCAAAACTTTAAATCAGTTAAAATTAAATAAAATAGGAATAATAAAATCAAATTATACCATAGATACATCCAAAGGTATTAAAGAGAATTAAAATTAAAATTTGTAGATAAATATTTTTATTTAATGTTGTATCTATAATTGTGTTCCTTTCACATCTTTAACTGCCCTATACTGAAAGCGCAAACAAAATACTACACTGAAATATTTGAAAGTAAATATCGCATGTTGAAAAGTTAAATAACATAAAAGATATTTCAAATTGATTTTAATTTGTTAACAATAAATTAATGCAAATGCAATATCATCGAACCAAAAGAAAATATTAGGCAATCATTATACAAAAAATAATATTTGTAAAAAAACAAAAAATAACAACCTAACTATGAAGTACAAAATAATAAAATGTTACCTAGCTCTTGTTATAAGTATACAAAACATATTGTATACCTATAGCAAAACACGACAAACTAAATAATATGGCAGAAGCGACTTAGTTTTTCTAAATATTATCTAAGATATTTAATCTATTTTTGAAATATCCACGAAAATACCATTTATTGTGAAGTAATAACACTAAACCAACACGTCGACTAATAAAATATTAAAAAACAAAAAAACCTTTTATAAGGGAAGTGCATTTTATTTTATTTTCAATCCTTATTATACATATACTGTTAAGAACAAATGTATGTGAGAAAAAAAATTGTAGTAAAATCGTTTGTGTTTAGATTCTGAGTGAAAATGTTTATTTTTTTATTTTTTTTGTAATCTATGCGCAACTTTTCTACCAGAAGACTTGCTTAGATTTTTAAGTATAGATAGATAGTATAGCAGATTTTCTGAAAAGAAATCGGTATAAGGAGATACACTTTAGGGAGGTAATTTTTCGATTTTTTAATAATTTTCTCGTAAAATACGAAAAACCAAAACAAAAAAACTGGAATATGTACGAAATGTATTACTAAAATATTATATTTTTTCTTGTGCACAACTTTTCTACCAGCAATTTTGCTCCAACTTATAATGATGGTAATATTTCTAAAAGGAAATTTCACTAAGAAGGTACTTTAGAGGGGGAAAACGAGAAAAACATAGGAAAACTAGAAAAATCGGTAAAACACTAAAAAAATATTATTAACGAAAATATATAAAGCCAATTTAATTATTTAACTATAAAATGACTTGAAAATGGTGACAAAGCATCATTATCAACTGAACTTCAATCAGAATTTTTTTTTGTAAGCAATGGTTTATCGTTGTTTACAGATTTACATAAAATTATTAACAGTAGCTTCACTCATCCTCATTATCCTAGGACATCTTGTTTATAACTACATATTTCATACGTAAAACCCCCCAAAAAGAAGAATAATATGTACCCATCACCTATAGTTGATCAAATACTAGATTATATTTAACAGTTTTAATCTAGGCTCAATAATATTAGGCCGATATGATGTGCATTTACGTGTACGTGTGCGTGTGTGTCATCTGTGTGTCTGTGTGTGTGTATGTATTGATATAATACAATAAAATAATTCATTGTATTAATGATAAAAATTCCTACATCACAAATGGATTCACGACTAATAATAATAAATAAACGGGAACTAATTCGGCTCAGCTTCAAAAAAAATTTCTTTTTTCAAAACGAGAACCAATTAGGTATTTGAGAGATGAAATCGGGAACCAATTCGAATGGAATACACATCCTCTCTACGAATACCTACCTACCTACCTACCTACCTACCTACCTACCTACCTACCTACATACCTACCTACGCGCCTACCTTATATATATATATATATATATATATGTACTATATTATGCATAAATAGTTATACGAACCAATGTATTTATATAAATAAACTAATATAATATCTAAGTTTTAAGAATCTATTTATTATTCTCAAATTCATACATGGAATTGTATTTTTTATCCTATTTCAAATAAATTTAATCTCCTTTTTTAAGATAAATTAAGTACCTTCACATAAAACATTTAACTATACAAATAACTATAGGTACCAATTTGATGATATTTATCGTTTTAAATGCACGCCTACCCTATAGATTAAAATATTATAATAATGAGAGTTGCAGTTTTAATAAAAATCGATAAAACAAATTTAAGTATTAGGTAGATATTATTATCTATCCTTATATTGGATATTGCTTTAAGAATGTTATAATGCACTCTAGTTAATAACTGTTCAAATGAGAGTGATTATTGACCACTCTAAAACACATACAATAACACCTCAAATCCAATGTAGGCAAGAAATACTTTTCAGACATTAATAGTTATGAACATAAAAGCTGATATATAACTACAGCAAAAAACTAGAAGAGGAACACTTATTAAATTGTTATAAGCCTAACCTAACTTTATTATTTTTATAAAGAATGTGTGGGTTTCATATGAATTTCTTAATGTACACAATATTTAAAATAATAATAAATAGAAGTTCTAATTTAATTAATTGTACGATTATATGTCATTATATTTTTTCTAAATACTTAAGATTTTAACAGTTTATACTATAAGTCTATAAAACCTCAAAAAACATTTTAGTAAACTATAATTTAATAAAACTAAGTCAACACCGAATATGTTTATAGCATCTAACAACATTTTAATTTTAATATCTAGGAGTGTTACAAAATAATATATAATAATTCTTCATAAAATATATAGATTCAATTTTTTTTTTTTTATTTTTTTTTTTTTTTTATTATTATTTTCATTATTTCACTAACAGTGTTTAATACAAATTATTAAGACCAAAAATTCTTTTAACTGTTAATGATTTTATTGTATTGCCTTAAAATAAATATAATATCAAAAACTCTTTATCAGACCATTAATTATATTTCGTTTATTATCAATTTTTAATAAGTCATGATAATATTGATGTTATATTTAAATAATAAAATAATGACTGTGTAATTGCAGTAATAAGCACCTTTTAAACTAATTATTGCTTTTCATTTTATTTACATTTTACCTTGTTAAAAAATTTTCAAGAGCTAAAAGGTAATAAGTGGCCAAGTTTCAGCACCATATAGAAAGTTATAATATATTGAATACATACAGTATTAACTATTTTGACAAAAATTAAATGCATCATGCATTAAAATTATTATATTTATTTAATAGATGTGAATCAAATTAAATATGCAGAGACCAGTAACATTTCTGAATGGATTCAAACAATTTTTTCTTAGCTAAAAAATGCATTTAATATTCAAGAACATGTGGATATATCTAAGCTTTTCCAAGAAGAAAGTAAGTTAATTTGCACTGTAAACATAAACCTTAGAGGTTAAAATAGAAAAAATAACATCAAGGCACTTATAATTTTTTTAATTCAAAAAACTAATATAAAAAAAATTGAACACAAGTTCTTTGAGAGTAAACACACAATAATGAAAGTTGTTTCTATGCATAGCTCCAATTGAGAATGATAAAAGGCATGTACCTGTATTTCCTGTTCAGGATTGGATACCTATTTTTTTTAAATGGCTAGATCAAAAAGAAAAAAATAAATAGAAATATAGATAGAAAACCATACATTGTAGAAGAACTGTTTTATAAAGATTCTTTAGATCTACAAAAATTATCAGTCTTGTTAATCCAAAACAAAAAACTTGATGTCAATAACAAAAAAAATTAACTGACCCTAATTTTAAGGATTCTAGAAATACAAAATCAACTCCATATCTAGTAGACTATATGTTCAATAATTTACAAATATGTACAAACAAATTGATATAAGTGGAAAAACTAAACATCCATGAGATCCATGAGAACTGAACCAAAAAATTTTGAATTTTCCAAGTTGTATTCAAAGAAGCTCCCTATAAGTATTAAAAATAAAAAAGATCTCATCAATTTGTACAATAAAAAAATAATTCCAGAGTTTATCATCTATAATATTTAAACTTACCTAGTCTAAAAAAAATATATAATATAAAAATGGTTTTATTATTATTAATTAATTATGAAAGTATTAACTAATGTTATTATAATTTTATGAAAAAATGTATAAGACTGTAGAATTCTTTTCATGTATGTTACTAAATAATTTGATAAATGTTATTATTTTTTTCTGGTAAACTAGACATCTTTTTTTTAATTTTAAAAGGAAATGGATAATAATATTAAGATAAAAATTGTTTTATAATATTATTAATGAACTATAAAAGTATTAACTAATGTTATTTTAATTTTATGAAAAAGGGTAAGACTTTATTATCCTCATTATTTATGTTACTAAGTAGGTATGTGATCAATTATTTTATTACTATTATTTTATTTGTTAAACTTGTCTTATATTATTATGAATAAATTAATTACATAATAATTATGTATATTAACACATTATTTTTTAATCATATGTTATTAAATATTTAGCTTAAGAGTAAAAAAATTACCTACCTACTTGAGTTAAATTTAAAAAAAAATAGTTTTATTTTCTTAAACATTAAAAATTTAAATTTAGGCATAATAATAATATTATTATTAATTTTAACATTTATTTGAACAGATGAATTAAACAAAAATTCATTAATAGTTCTTTTTTTTCAAAAGTCTATGTTTAGCTGGTATTTTTTAAAAACCATTTAAAATTCTAAAAATGTATTATTATTAACTATAAGAATAATATTTTGGTTTCATAAAAAAAAAAAAAATAAAATCAGAATGACCATGAATAATACTACAAAGTAAAAAATTAAAAAATGCATATAACAAATTACTTTAGACGCCATTTTTTAATGAGTTTAGTTCAATTTCAGTTGGTATTGTATGAACTATAGACTAGAGTTAGCAATGATTCAGTAAAAGATGGAAATACCACAAATCATTTTAAAGGATTTCTGTTTAGTCTATGCGATTTATATAACAAATCACCAAAAAATTAAACAGATCTGAAAATGATATGTGCTAAACTGAACATGAAATTTTTAAAAGTTAGCAGAGTACTAGATGTTAGATGGGTGACCAGCAACTACACAGCAATTCAAGGAATTCAGAAAACATTTAGTGTTTTATCAAACCAATTATATAATGCTTCTAAAGACTTAATAAATGATAAGAACACAATCCAAGTATATAGAGATTTATATAAAAAATTAGCAAGTTTATAAATTGTTTTAGATTTGACACTTATGTGTGATATTCTTATGAAGTTGTCTTATGTATCTAATCAATTGCAGAATCATACAATAATAGTATTAGATTATTATAAGCAGATCAATTTATTAAAAGAAACATTAAAGTGTTGGAATCATTTAAAATTAAGGAAAATATAATTCAGAAGCAAAGACAGCTCGAATAAATAATGTTTTCAAAACAATCACTGAACACATTGATCAATAATCAAAAATTTATTTATATTAGCCCAAATCAGTTCATAACTAGTGTATGTAATGATATACATTTCCATTTACTTGAGAACAATGAAAATGAAACATTAATATTAAATAATGTACACATTCTAAACAATAATACATATTGATATAAGACATGATGAAAATAAAACACAATGATTTGGGACATACATTTTTATTAAATACCTGTTCTAGTTCAAAGAACGAGACATTTTATTCATACAAACAAAATAAATGAAGAAATACAAGAGTTAAATATCCTTATCAAAACATTACCTGTTTCTACAGCTGGATATGAACTTGGATTTAATTTAATGAACATAATATGTTCAGATTTAAGATCTAAATTAACAATAAAAAATATATTGAACCTATGCATCAATAAAAATGGACCACCTCTTAACTTAATATACGAAACCCAACCAAATATGTTAAAAGTACAGATTATGAGACGATAATCATTCAAGAAAAATAGAAGTGTAGAAGTGTCATCAGAAAAAATATTATAATATTTTTATAATATATAGAATATTTTATAAATTATAAATTATTTAAATTTGCTATATGGAATAAAAATAACTCATTATAATTCAACATATATAATTATTTTTAGAATACAGCACATTTTAAAGGTTAAATAAATATATAATAGATAAATCTAAGTTAATTGGTATATGGGGGTGGAGGGCCAAGCCCGTATCATATATTTCATAATTATAGTGTATACACAAAACAATATTTATGACTACACCACTGTACATTAAGCAGAATATTGAATGGAAGTTTTTCGAAGTTTAAATTTATAGTAGACGATATCTTCAACTTGCCTAACACTTCAAACAAGATACAAATTAATATAAACCTCGAGAATAAGGAAATTAATATACTCATTTTATACATGAGTGTAAGATATATGAGTTTAATGACTTAGTATAACATATTTTAATCTCTTTGATCAAATAATAAGGTAATATTGATTACTTTTTCAACATTTCATAATATGCATACAACTATTATAACTCTAACTGTATAAATAATTGTTAGATTTGTATTAAACTCTGATAAAATCATATTCAAACCTATAATATAATCATCATGTGTTTATATGTAAGTAGATTGCCAACAAATCAAAATATTCCAAAATATGTCATACACATACTGTAATAAGTTTCAAACCTACTTGTTTTAGGTAACAATGTATAATACCTATATAATTTATTCAATCCTGTTTTAAAAAAAATTGATTATTTACTTTAGATTTAAATATTTTTGTTTTAATTAATTCATGTGTACATTTGTATCTTACTAAATCAAGCTAAACTAATATTAATCAAATAATGTTGATGAAAAATCATTATTTAATTATACATTCAATTATACATAAAATAAAAGTAAAAATTGCTATTACATGGATCACCCTTGAAATATTAAGTATTATATTATTTCTATATATAGCAACAAATAGCAACAGTAAGTAAAACTAATATTGTGAATGGTTTTAAAGAAAATTAAGAAAGATTAGATGTACAGAGTTCTCAGATGTAAGGACAAGTATAAAATACTTTGCTTATAAACATGAATTAGTATTACAAAAACTATTTAAGGTTATAGTAAGAGAGTACCAAATTAATATAAAGTAAAATTAAAATACTTGTTATTATTTTTTAATTGCATTATCTGTGTGGGTTTTGGTCCAAAGATAAACATAAATCTAGCTATTTTTTTAAATTTGTATGTTGTTACTACTAACTTAATTGTCAAAAATAGTATTTGAATCAATTTAAAATTATTGGAAAATAGTATAAATACCTTAATTAAAAATTATTTATACCTATACATAATGTGTTTATGATGTTAGGTTTGAATGTCTATTTAAATTGAATTTCTAAATGCAAAAATGACTTCAGTTACTCATTAAAAATGAATTAAAATTGAGCACATAATAATCCTATAAAGAATATTAATTAGAAATATGAAACAATTATTCCAGCCTGCTGGTAATTATTTCTAACATATTTATATTTTCAATTTAAAAAAAACCTTTAAAATTGTAACTTGTAATTTGTATTAAGTTTAGATACTCTTCATTCTATTAATTAGTGAGATATACAACTAGGAAGCATTTAAACTGACTAATTATTACTATAATCAATTGATTGAGCAAGAAATGTTATACTTAATTTAAATTTTTTTTTTTAAATATATTTGTGTTAAATTTCTCTCTCTGCCACACAATTTATTTAAATTTAAAATAGACCTAACTGTATACATATAGATTTAACATAATAATTCAATGAAATTATGATTGAATTCTATTCATTACTTTTGATAGATTATATAGGTAATTATATACTAATAGAAGTAATACATGATTTTGTTAGGTAAGAAGTACCTTTTAGATAATCCTAACTTATAGAGAATACAGAAAAGTACTTTAAAAACAATTACAGATTTATACAGTTCATAGAATTTCAACAAATAAGGAATTGAATAATTGTCAGTACTGAAGAGATATTAGATTTAGAAAATAAATGCCCTTAATAATAATAAATGTTTTAAGTGTTGATGAAATGTTCTTTTAATTAAATTACAACAGATTAAAAGTCTAATACAGATTTAAAATAGGCAATTCACTGAAGAGTTCCACAATAAATGATTTAATCCATACAAATGTTGTTTTTAACTTGTTGATCATAATAGGTACAACCTATGTATTCTGGTATTCATAAACAAACATAAAATCTCACTATATCATACAAATTGTGTATGTATAAAACTGTCTAGCTGTATAATAATGTGTATACTGTTTACTAACTCTAACTATCTATATTATTTTTTGACTCTAAACTTAAACCATATAGGTCCAAGTTTTATTTTTAACTGCCTAAAAAAAAAAAAAATAATAATAATAATAATAATAAAAATAATAATTATATCATATAATCTAGGAATACAGGTAATTCTTTGTTTTACAACATAATAGCTAGTTATAATTAATTACTAGGTTTTTATATTGAGTAAAACAATGGTATATAACAGGTAGCTCACTAAAACCTACTAAAACAACAGTATCTTCCAACTATAAAAATAACTTTGATAGGAATTTAAAATCATCTAATGGAACTCATCAATTTAATTTGCCCAATTTACAATTTTTAAATTTACCAAAAAATATAATTCAATATGTTCACTTTAAGGAAACAGTAAAAATCAAATAAAATTGATAATAATATTAATCATACACAAAAAAAAAATTCCTTACTAAATGAATAAGTTAATCTAGAAAATAAATTTGAATTTTCTATTTAAAAAAAAAAAAAACAGTGTAGTTCATAAGTGTTTAGTATTTATGTTTTAAATAAATACAGCATATCTACAATTGATCTAGAAGTGTCATCTTATGCCTTTAATGGTCCAATATACAAATGTATACAGGAGTAGACCGAAGAATATTTAGCCCTGCTGAAAGTAATTAATCCAAAAAACATTTTACTATAACAACATGTGTATTTTGAAAAATCATTCCCGAAGTTAAAAACTTTAGAAGTCCTAACAAGCTAGACTAACAAAATATTAGGATAATAATAATTTTTTTTATTATATTTTTTTATAATAACAATATTAACTAAAAAATTCATCTTAATTTTTAATAAATGGACTTCTCTTCCCCTTTAAATTTAAATTTTTAACTTCAAATTTTTGTTAGGTGGTGCTATTGGTATCATCCTGTTACCCTATCATGTTTATGTAAATTCACTAACATTGCTTTTAAATATGTTGAATTGGAGAGTTAATGACTTTGTTCTGCTGAACATTTTTATTTCCAATACTTAAAAAATAAAATAAACCATTATGTTAATCATATAAAAGCACTGGACTATTGTGATTTAGAATAGTAGAAAATGGGACCAGATCACTTCTAATCATATATATTTCAATTAAAAAGAAAACCGTATAAATTACTTAATTACACTCAGTGTGTAACCAGTATATCTAACTAAGTATTATATCACTTCAATAATGGAGTACATTAATAAAAAATTAAATAAATCAAATACATACATCAAATCAAAATGTCCAACTATTTTCAATTTCAGTAAAGCTCATAGCATGAAACTATATGCAAGCATTTCATTTAGTAAATACTAAAAATCTAATAGAAAGTAAAAAAACCTAAATAAATTAAAAATCATAAAAAAAAAATGTTTAACAGCATAACAAAATATTTACATATGTATAAAATAAATAATACATATTTATAAGTCTAGAAATTATACAATGTCAATTTTATATTTATTCCTATAAGTAAAATGCAAAAGAAAATTTAAAACATTAAATGTAAAACTACCTACTACAAATTTCAATGAGAATTGAGAAATAAAAATTTAAATGCCAACATACATAACCATTTCTATTATAGAACCATTATATAAGAAATGTAAAAACTGTATACTTTTCTAAAGAACAAATGTTACTCCAAATTAACATCAAATAAATATGAAAATCAAAATTAAAATTCTACAGATTCATAAAATTTCAACAAATAGAAATTGTCAGCATTGAAGAGATATTTGATCTAGAAAATAAATGCCCTGGTTTCTAGTGTTAATGAAATGTTCTTTTAATTAAAACAGATTAAAAGTCAAATACAGATTTAAAATTGGCAATTCACTAAAGAGTTCCAATAAATGATTTAATCCATGTATAGTTTTCAACTTGTTGATCATAGTAGGTACAACCTATGTATTCTGGTATTCATAAACAAACATAAAATCTCACTATATCATACAAATTGTGTATGTATATAACTGTCTAACTGTATAATAATGTGTATACTGTTTACTAACTCTATCTATAGTATTTTTTACTCTAAACTTAAACCATACAGGTCCAAGTTTTATTTTAACTGCCTAAAATAAAAAAATAAAATAATAATAATAATTATATCAAATAATCAAGGAGTATAGGTAATTCTTTGTTTTACAACATAATAGCTAGTAATAATTAATTACTAGGGTTTTATATTGAGTAAAACAATGGCATGTAACAGGTAGCTCACTAAAACCTACTAAAACAGTCTTTGAAGTATGAAAATAACTTTGATTAAAATCATCGAATGGAAGTCATCAATTTAATTTGCCTAGATTAAAACCAATAAATAACTTGTTAGATTAATATATAATTTTTAAATTTACCAAAAAAAGGAATTCAATATGTTTACTTCAAGGAAACAGAAAACATCAATTAAAATTACTGTTAATATTAATCACATACAAAACATAATTCAAAACTTAATAAATGAAAATAAATTAGAATTTTATATTTAAAACAAAGAAACATTAGGGTTCATGTATGTTTAGTATTTATGTTATAATAAAACATATATCATATTTAAAATTAATCTAGAAATTTAATCTTATATAATGGTCCTGTAATTAATTACATATATTATATACTTCAATAAAAAAAGAAAAAAAGAAAATTAATACATTTTCTTACTATTTAATTAATATTAAAGAATTTTAATTAATGAAATAATTAATAAATAATATTATTACATCAAATCAAAATGTCTTATTTTAAATTTCAGTTAAACTCATTGCATAAAATCATATTCTTGCCAAGCATTTTATTTGGTGAATACAAAAAAATTCATTAGTACAAAAACCAAACCTAAGTAAATAATAAAAAAATAATGATAGAAAATTCCAAACTTCTAAACAAAATATTCAAGAACAATACCAACTTTTTATTAGTCTCTGAATTTAAAACAACAGTGTACTATATTTATTACCAAAGTAAAATGTTAACTACCAGCTACACATCTGAATGGTAACAGGAGTTTAATTTTTAAATTTAGGGTTTTATTATTATTTAAAATATTTCAATTGTTATACTTTATAAGAAATAAGTCCTCATAAAATCAACAAACACCAAAGATTAATGAGAATTCATTAATAAAATCATTGAATTCATAATAATTAAAATATAGAAGACAGTAAAATGAATTACAGTAACACCAATGGTATCATTTTAAATTAGTAAAAGAAACAAATATGAAATCAAAAGTATGTCAGTACTTAAATATCCAAAAAAAAAATACTTGCAAAAATGTTAAATACCTAATAGTAGTAGGGTTACTGATAATTAATTCTCAATCATACTGTTATTTATAATACTGTTTACTGGTAGGCACAAAAACCTGTGTATTATAAAAATTATTAAATATAGATTTTAAGATAAACGAATAAAGGGTACAATTACTTTAGATATTATTCTAAAACAAAAATGTTATAATTTCAGAATATATTTTATATTTTGAGATATTTAGTAGTAATTAAATTAGTAGTATATTAAATGTAAGGTGTAAATGATGAATGTGTAATAAGTAGGTGTGAATGTATAAAGTAGTTTGAATCATCAGTTTAAATTTGAAAATATTAGTTACATTGACATAAACCATAAAAAACCTGTTTAAATTTAAACCAAATGCATTAGAGAAACTTATGTAACTTTTGTATAGGACCAAATTAATTATTTTAAATTAAATTAAATATTAAGATGTTTAGATTTTTAACAGTATAAAAATCAAATTTCAAAAAAAATAAATTATACATTAAACTAGTAATATCATAAATCTAATGCGTGTTAACTTTGAACTGGAAGATGAACTACTAATCAAATAAATAACAAATACAAAGTAACCTCCACTATCCTAATATTATAAGTTAAAATGCTAAGCTATATCACAAGACAAGACCAAAACTGGTCACATTGTGCATCCTCACATGCATCATTCACACTCATAAATGTATTGGTCAAAAGCCAATCGGTTGTAGCTTAGTACGTAGATTTGTGCACAGAAATAGGAGAGATTTTTTAATAAGATATAAATTCAACATGGTTAGGATTTCATTACAGACTTTAAATTTTGTTTGTCATTAGACTGTATACATTTTGTTAAATCAGATATTATTAAAATAATTTACAATGCATTAATAATTTATACCTATTAAATTAAAACAATTACTTATGCACATGTAAATTTATGCCAACATATGCTTGAAAGCAATTTAAGTTTTATTAAATAAAAATAAAACTTTTTGTAAATTAGTAATGGTTTGTTTTTCAGTTCAATCCTAACACAATTAATCAAATTTCTATATACATATTAATTTTTAAAACCATGAAAAATTTCAAGTAATTACTCATGGTAAATTAATATCATGAAAATATACATTTCAAATGAAATTAATGTTGTAGTTCATAACAATTTCTAAGATTTATAATTTAAAAAATTATTTAATTAGAAAAATACAGACATGACCATTGGTGGTGATACCCTAATTTACTATAAGTATTCACACTTAAGTTTATTTAATCTTATTCAAGTGGTAGGTATTATTTACATTGAACAGACATAATATAAAACAATTAAATAGCTATGTAAAAAAAAAATATAAAAGTTTATAGGTATGAAAATATGCATAAGATTAACCTAAAACACCTTATCAATAAATCCAAAAAGAAGTGCTTCAATAAAGTTAATATTTCAACAATGAGCTTAGGTAATATAGGTACATTTACATTGAGTTAATTATATATTGTCTTTATTGAAAATGTTTAACGGTTAGTTTACAAATTATTTTTATTATTTTTAAAATAAAACATGAGTTTGAAAAGAAACCCAAGATACTTGTGTTAGACAAATAGTAGGCAACAGATTTCAATTTTTTTGAAAATAATAATTTACATAAATACATTCAATTGTCCAAAAGTCAAAATTATCGTTAGTGTTTGTAAGTTGTTTGTTCACTAGTTTACTTCATGTCTGAGTCTACAGCAACTTAGATGGGATTGATTAGGGATTGATCATCAGTCATGTCACCAACTTTTTTGCTAACACAAAGTAATAGACATAAAAATATCCAGCTGTTTTAATGTGTTTAACACATTTCCAAAACACTTCGTCTTATGGACACCATCCATTAGACATATTAACTCCAACTTCTAATATATGAGGTATGGAAAATCTAAAACATATTAGATGTACATAGAACTAAAAATAAAATTATTTCATAAACTTTCTTCAATAAAACAAAATTGTTCACTGATATGAATACCTTACAAAATGTTGACAAGACGAAGATTTAACCAACATATAAATAGTTAGCATTGAAGTAGTATTTTCAATACTGGACAATAATAATTATGATGATGAATTAACAATAACCTTCTAATAAACCCTAGAATTAATAACCTAACTCAGGGTTTAACTTTTTGTCAACTTTTGTACAATGATGTTTGAAGAGTATTAATAATGGCGTGATGTTGGATTCACAATACTATTTACTTATATCAATCCAATTGGTCAAATTATTGAGTAATGATAACCCACTCCTCTACCTTTACTGAAAATAGTGTATTTTTAAAATCCAAATTTTGGTATAAAAAAAATATTATGGATGATTCTTACCTTAAATTTAACTCAAACTCCTTACTTACAACATGACCACTAGACATGAAAATAAACATGCTCACTATTCATATTTCACCTGCACAACAAAATACAAAATTGTCTTCAATTAGATTTAAATCATTCTTTCCTGTAATATTTTTATAAAACATTGAATGTGTTTATTATTTTAAAATATTATCTTAGCTGAAAGGACAAATTAGTTTCCCAAAAGGCAGACGAGAAGCCATCAATTATAAAATTATTTATAGAATCAAAATTGAATAATTTTTGTATCAAAAACAATCAAACTAAACTTAGTAACTGTGTTCAAAGCAATTGTATAAATGTCATAAATAACTTTTCATAAATCATAGAATTCTCCATTTTCTTCAAATGCTAATTTCTAGAAGTTTCATTGATTGATGAATAACAAATAGTACATAAAAAACACAAAAGACATCCTCAAAAATGCACGGTTTTTTTATTTTTATTTATCACTACCAACAAATTGTGTGCCTATCTGAAAGTCTGGTGAATATAAAAACAGTAAATAAAATAAATAATCTTACAAAAAATTTGAATAATTTTACCTGTTTTGCAGTTTTCAAGTGGCCCAATTTGATGTCAGTCAGGAATCAGTGCCATACATACATCGGTGATTTGCCACTACATGTTAAGTTGTTTCTGTTTTTCATACTTATCAAACTAAATATGAAAAATGAACCATGATTAGGTATACAATTGCAGCATCTTAATATTTAATAGTTACTGTTATAAATAATAAAATAATATTGGGTGTTGATTATTTAGCAATTGTCTTAATTTGGTGAGGGGGGGGGGTTAAAAGATATAAAAGGTATTTTATGAAATACTGATTAATTGTATTTAAGTTTCATGGGACTTCTTCAGAATACAGGGGGGGCATAATTAACGAACTTGGAATTTCTATCTACAAAAGTTTTTCAGACTGTCTTGAGTTACATCCGCAAGAATAATTTTTATTTTATTTCTACATGATAAATTTGTTAATATTAATTATCTATCAATTATCAATACCTTATAAAACCTTATTATAAGTTGATAAATATCACCTTACAATTTATTGTTAGAAATCAATTTTGTTCATGTTGTTCATGTCAAAAATGTTCAACCTGATATTTATATTAAAATGCAAAACTCAAATTAAACAAACGGACGAAGAGAGGATGTAGAAAACAATGATTTTATTGAAAATACTGCACAGACAAAACTCTTCTCCACTGTTCAACAAATAATAATTTTGGTACTTATCTCCATTAATGTGAAATGTGAAATGTTAAACTTATAAATAAATTTAAAGTACTAAATATTTATAAATTGCTAACTTTGAATGAGTAATAGGTAGGTTACATAAAAATTATTTAGTCAACAAATATTTATGTCATTGTGATAAAAAAAAAAATTATAAAATAAGTAGTACTTAGGTTCTTCATTAATTCATAATAATTTGAAATAATTCAGAAATTCAATAGAATCAATATTTTTTGCAAGTTTGGAATATGCTTACTTATTAAACAAAGCTTATAAACAGTAGGGATAGAAAATAAAAAAAAAAAAATATTTTTATTGTTAATAATAATTAAAAAATTTATATCGCTTTACAATATTATTCACAAGTGTCTAAAATTGCAAATTATGTTTGCGTCATTGTTTGGAGCAATACCATGAATGTAACTGATTACGTAATTTAGTGCAATAACAGATTATGCATTAGTCATTCCTATGATTCGTGTTATGAGATTAAAGATGTTAAATTATGTTGCTTAGGTTATAATTGTATCGATCCGACATTGTGAGTGAACAGGAAGGGGAAGGAGATAAAAATCAAAAAAACCAAGGTCTTTTGAAAATACCATTTGGGTGAACGCAATGAATATTTTATTTTATACATCGTAGATGTAAAAAAATTGTTTCGGTCAAGTTTTACTGCGTTACACAATATCGCATTGGCTGTACAATAATAGTGTAACCATAAACGCAATAGGTAGGTATACCTTACACATTACGAAAATATTGGAATGTTGGTAGACTGTTTCGCATCGGCCACGCCTAAATGTTGACCCATAAAGGACAAACGGAGGAGAAAAAGAGCAGGGCTCTAGCAGGATAGTGACGGAGAGGGGAAGAATCGATTCGCGTGACCTCCGCCGCGCAAGCGCCGTAACGACGGCGAAACAATGACGGAAAGTTGGGGGGGGCCGTGTGGTACGGGGAATAGTGGTGGGAACGCGGTTGGCTATACGCAAACAAAGGAACAAAGAAAAACACGTCATGTTCACATTACGAATATGAGAATAAGAGTATTCTACGGGCGGGCGGTGTAACGAACCGTGGAAAAAACGATTGCGGTCCGGGCAGCGACGCGGGGTACGTGCATAGTAATAAAGCGGGGGGGACTATAAAGAAGTGACAAGTGGGGGGGATATGTAATAGTGACGTGGAGTTTAGCGAAAACAAAGAAAAACGAAATTTGTTGTGAACGAAAGAAAACCTTCGCCAACGCCCAACACGTTATCACAATAATGAACGAAAATATTATAGACTATAACACAAATCGCGAAAAATTAAACGGTTTGGTCACCGCGAAACATTGAAAAGGTTTGCTACTGACTGGACGATAATAATAAATGTATTATTGAATACATTTCAGTAGATATAAAACAATAAAAAATAAAATAATATATATTGTCGATCACGAACCGTTTCAATGTCACAGATACTCAAAGATAATAATATTATAACAACTATTAAATATAACTTATACTATTATACTCACGTCACGTATGGTGCCGCGTTGACGGGCGCCTCGGAGCAGGGCGTGGCACCATCGTAGACTGCAGATGGAACGACGTGCCGGCGGGCCATCCGTTTCTTTCTGTTGAACAATATAAAAATACAATGAAAATATCTAGTAAACCAAAGTATACGAAAACGAATGTAATTGAAAAACAAAGTGTACGACTTACCGTGATCGCGTACGCCATTTTGATCGGCGAGCGCACAAGCGAAAGACGACGAAACAGGTCTGAATGCAGCGGACGAAGCAGCGCAAATGAACCAGCGGCTAACAAGCAGTGAGCGGAGAGCGGCAGCGCATTTATCGACGTCAGTAGTTACACTGGACGGTCGCAAAGAGCGCCACAGTCAGCGTCCCTAACCGCTTCCTCACCGCATCGTCTAAGTTCCTTCACCGGCGTCACCTCCGCTCATCGACACTCGACAACTTACCGACAAAAAATATCATTTTACTGCAGTAAGTGTGAGTGTACGACCGCATTGCAGAGAATTCTAGAACATTCGCCAACGTTCGAGGCATGACGCATAAACATACAGCGCACGCGTACAGACAACAGACACTATCGATCGATCAGGTCTCCAGCATTCCGGGGGCCGGCCGTGTATCGGCACAAATTCTCTCGATTTCTAGAACATTCTCGTCGCGTTTCCATCGTCCGCTTCCCTACCCCGCTGTAATATTATTATGACGTATGCACGGTGAAAACGCGTATACCTATAATAGACAAATCGACATCGTTACACTTTTCACACAAAATATTATTGTTAGGTACCTTTTTTTTATTCTGTCCAACAACTTTTCGAAAAGAAATCTTGCTCTAATGTAGAGAGTGTAGAACCTTTTCTGAAAGAAAATGTTTTCTAGTTGATACATTAGAGAGGCCATTTTTTGATTTCCCGAGAGGTTTTCAATAAAATTGGTAAAAATCCGAAAGAAAATTATAAGTAAACGACAAATATTTACGACGCGGCGCGGTGTAACCGTTATCATTACTTTTAATTTTTGTTCACGATTTTCTAAAATAGAAATATTGATCCAATCGAAAAATGTTGTTCCCTTTATCTAATTTTCCATAATAATTGGTAAAACCAAAAAAGACGAGATATAAGGTTTTTTTTTCTTTGTTGTGTGTGTGTGTAGGTATAAACAACTTTCCCACCAGAAATCTTACTTGAATCAAAAAACTGTATAACAACTTCCTTGTAGCATTTTTGATCTAGTTGATACATTGAAGTATTTTTTTTATTTTCTTTGTAGTGTTCTTAATAAATGGAAAAAAATAACAATTGTTTGTATTATTTATGTTGATATTATCTGGTGTAGGTACCTTGACAACAAAGGAAAAAATACGACTAATAATACTCTGCTCCGAACCATTTTTCGTTAACAGTAATATATCGGAATATATTTACTAACAGTGACACACCCAGGAGGGATGATTGTCCCAGGTCGTCAAAATCTTTTTAAAACTATGGAGCGTCCGGCTCAATGTAAAACTCGAAATAAAAGTAACAATGTCACTTATTAAATTATATCACTTGTTAGTTATTGTATTTCCAAACGCTTTGTTTAGAGTTATAATGAATATTATTCGAAAATTAAAATAGAGCGTTAAGTTCGACTAATAACATAATATGTGTACCTAGACAAAAATTTAGGAGTAAATAAGAATCTTATTTGATGGAGGTCAAATTTTGAAATTTTAATATCAATTTAATAAAATTGTTAAAGAAACAACAAACTTGGAAGGATGATTAACCATCAAAATCGTCATTAAAGGGAATCGCTTAAAAATTGATGCCCTTGTGCGCTAAATGGCTCGGCACAGCTCTGGACACACCCAACAGCTGCCTTTTTTTTCTGAACGGTTGAAGAGCTATCGATTTGTATATAAACTGGCGCGACTGTGTATTATTAATTATTATTATTATAGCCGTCACTACACTTCCGACGAAAATTATATTTAATTAATTAATTACGTATTAGCCAACAATGTAATATTATTATATGCTTACGTTTATGGAACGTTCCAAACCATATGAATGTATTAAGATGTGTGAAAATAAATAAAACACCCTATTTGATGTATGTACTAAAATCAACGCTAAAATAATATCATTGCAAAAAAAAAAAACGATTCCGAATGGAACTTGGTTAATTACAGATTATATAGGTTATACCGTAACAATCATTTTAGAAGGGTTTTTATCGTGCATATCCAATAAAATCCAAAAAAATCAACTAAACAGTCCAAAACTCAAATTTTGAGTTATTGTAATATATAACTCTTAATCATTTTCCGGCTTTGAGATTTTAGTCGGACAATCGATAATATTTAAATAAGCAAAATAAAAATGCCCCACTTGTTTTTAAAATAAGTCCAAAAATAAAATAGTATAGGTTTTATTTTAAAAATCAGTAAAATTTCGAATTCCACTAACTAAATACGTTTTACGAATCATTATTGACCTGAGAGAGAGGCCACGACTTTATTATTTATATTTAAAAAAATAAAAAAAACATATTATACTGTTGATTTGAACAACTTTTTATACATACCTAGATAATAAAATGATGTAAAGTATAGACTAAGAAGAAGTGGAAAACAATGAATTGGTAAATATACCAATTCCGGCTTTATAAAAACATTGTTAAATGATTTTTATTTAAATTGTACCTATTAATTATAAATTATTTAACAAATATTTTTGTGTAACCTGACAGTGTCGTATCTGTGAAACATTTTTTTTGGGGGGGACATATTAATTGAGCTATTTGTTATGATTATATTGTCTGTAATTATAAATCAAAAATTATATAATAAATCAAAAATCTAAATTTTGTTGTTTACTACCAGTAAATAAATAAATCACTTTGTCAACTGGTCTACGTCTATGGATAATGGATATTAAACAAAACTAACCCAACCACGCGATCTCTACCCAAGTTCGATCTCGACCAAGTTTTAAATATAAGTTAGATAACTATAATACATTTCGGAGTTCAAATCACAGCTGGTAATATCAATTATGCAATTAACGTAGATACAACAGTAATTATATGATCTAAAAAGTAAATACTAAGTAATGATAACGTCTTCGTGTAACTACTCTGAACTATTTAAACAGTTAAATTATAATTATAATTTTTAATGTATAGGTATTTTTTATATGAAAGGTACAGGGAAAAATCTAGAAGTCACTTTATTTCCAAAATGACGATATTGGTATCATAAATAGAATTTGTATTTATGTATGTACTTTATCTTTATGCGAATGAGCGAAAAAACCAGATTAGTCAAAAGTAATAAGCTCCAGAAATTTAGGCCTAGAAGAAAAAAAACAAGTACCTTAGTCAACTAATAACTAGACAAGTGTTGAGTGAAAGTCACACGGTTACACGGCTATAGTCGTAATTAATAATATAATAAGACATATCTAATTGTGTTATGGTTACTACATTTCAAAGTTTAACACATCATTTAATCGTTAATTAAACAGTTTATAAAAAAACGTAACACAGATTTTTTCGTGTGCCTTTCATATAAAGTACCTATGTACAATATTATAGCACAAATGTCATACCATTGATTATAAATACTATATCTATACCAAATGTTAATAGCTAACTATTTTTCAATACTTGGAATAAATAAATAAAAATCCCATAAATTAAGTAAATAATTGTTATATTATAAACAATTTTATTTAATGTACTGTTACAGTGGCGGTTTTAAGAGAGGTCCAGAGGCCTGGACCTCTTCCAGATAACGATGAATAATTTCAATAAATTACCATCTAAAAAAGAGGCATATATTAATAGATATCTTTGAAATACATATTATTTGTCAGGACTTCTACCAGAAAAATAATAAAAATCTGTTATTGTACTAATTATAGATATTTTATATCACGAAACATTATTGGATCGCAAATCGTAATAATGTTCTTGCAATTCAGTTAAATAATACTCATGTCTCATATGTTTTCACGATTGTAGCTGCAACGGATGATATTAATTGTTTGTCGTTTTTACTTTGATCACTCGTGTGTTATATCCCAACTATTAGCGTTGGTAGGTGAATGGGTACCCTTCAATGCAAATGTTAAGTAAACTATCTAAAAATCTGAAAAAATATTAAAAATTACAAGGCATTTATTCGCATGTAAATTAAAATCAGCAATTTCAAGAAAATAAAGAAATACCTAATATACATTTAGAACCCTAAAAATAAGACCAAGGAAAAAGAAAAAGAAAAAAGTACACTGAAAAAAATAACAACAATTTTAAAATGTTTTGAATATAATAATTAATAATTACAAAAAAAAAAATTTCATATTATAACACTAAAACACTTCGACACTTTAGTGATTTTTGACAGACTAAATTTGGTTAACTCCAATAATAGCATGGAAATATGAAAACGTCTTCATAGGTAATTTCAATGAATGAAAGGAATGAAAGATATATTGCAACCACTTGTTATTTTAAAAAGTTTCAATTTTTTTGAAAATATTTTTTTTCACATAATTTGTATAGTTAAAAAACCAACATTTTTCAAAAGAAATATATATTTTATACTTCAATATTTTTAAAAATTATTTTAAATAAACAATTGTTTTAATTTTTGTAATTCAATAAATAAATACAGTTAAAATTGGTGCTTTTTATTCCGTAGTAATTTTCTCCTTGATATTTTCCCGATTACCATACATTTATACATATCAGTTATTTTTGATATCAATTTTATTAAAATAGGTACCTACTTATACTTATTCTGAGTGAAGTTCAGTTGATATTAATGTTTTGTCAACAATATATATATCATATTATAGTAAAATAATTAAATAGGCTTTTCTTTAATAATATTTGTTTAACGTTGTACCGATTTTCCCAGTTTTCCTAGGTTTTTCCCGGTTTTCCTATGTTTTATCAAGGTTTTTCACATTTGCCTGGAAAACTCTTGAGAAAATCGAAAAATGATCTCTCTAAAGTACCTCTCCAGTAAATTTCCTTTTAGCTAAGGTGCTACACTTAAAAATCTAAACAAGTTGTCTGGTAAAACAGTTGTTTACAGATAAAAAAAAAGATAAAAAAATAAACATCTTTGTAAAACCATAGGCTTCTTCGCTTCACTCAGAATCTAAAAAGAAACTATTTATCGGGCACCTCATCTTAACTGTTTTCTAAAATATTTTCAAACGAAAACTAAATTACAGAAATTTAAAAAAAAGAGCAAAACTAACATCTTAAGACATACCTTTGAACAACAACCAAATGTTGCAAAACATGTTATCATAAAATGGGGAAAAGCAATCATCAACCAGTAAGTAAAAAAATTGATAGGCTTTGAAAAATCGCCAACAACGTGTTTATATAAATTACTTATCGGAAGCAAAAGCAATATTATGACCAATCCTTGAAAAAGTAAAAACGTAAATCCGGCCCAGGTAATTTTATCACAGTATTTCAATACTTCCTAAAATTATAATCATTTTATTAATATGTATACATATATACAATATGCAATAAATAATAATTGTATGTATGATAAATTGTAAATGTATTGTAAATATAATCAGAATTTATTTAATTTTATTACGTAGATAAGGAAATATACTTACCACACGAACATACAAACATTTGACAATCGTAATTATCATGGTTACGTGTAACAGACAAATTGCTTCCACTATCCAAGTACAGGAAAAAAACCACGGATCTAAGAGACTGTCACCCAAATTGACGACACACACAAAATATTGAAATATTCCGAGCATTAGCCAACCGACTGGTATGCCAATTAAATAGGAAAATGGCACTGAAGATCTTTTATTATACCACTTGGTTAATTGCTACAGTAGACACACAAAAATAGTTTTCAATTTAAAGTTCACTTAGGTTAAGTTTCAAGATTATATAATTTTGTATATTGTTGTTTATTATTATTTTGTTTACCAATAGGCATGGTATTTTTCAATAAAAGGCTCTATGTAAGACCTCTGTTAACGTAGTTCGTCTGAGTTTAGACTCTAACCCAGAAAGAATAATTTGAAAAAAACGTTTCCGTGGAGAAAAAGTTGTTCTTGGGTCTTGGCCAATATGGACCGTGAACATTTCATAGAAAAGAGAATATAGGGAATAGGGATGGGTCGTATTCACAATAATAATGAAAACCATTGCACTAACCAAAAAGTCAGTTAAGTTGTATAGGAGATTCGTGGACGTAACAAAAAAATACATTATAGCAAGAAGCTACTAGTATCTAAATTTGTAAATTCTAAAAAACAAACATAATTATTTGTATAATAATAGGTACCTACTTAACTGGTAAATGGTAAAATACCTATCTAAACTTTTGGATTAAACAGCTGTCTAGTTTTAATGATTTGATAAAAAGTGTGTTGAAATATTTAAGCAAATTATATGATGGTACGTAGTAGATACCCACCTACAATGTTAATACAGATCCGTCTCTACTGTCGGTTAACCGGAAAAAAAAAGTGACCTACCTATTATTCTTTACTGTACATCAATAACACAATATTATTCACATCATAATAGCTGTATTATTATGCCTCTGAGTAGGCATATTAAGGTACAATGTACATTGTACATTCTATATTTTTTTTCTAAATGGGTATTGAGTATAAGGTTTGAGATAATTAACATAATGTAGATAACGCTCACGTGACAATACGACATGTTTTCCGATAGAACGTTTTCTTCTTTTTGAGTATGTTTTGAAACAGGCTCGCAATTTTCGACATCCATTGCTACGGAATCGTCTTTTCTGCAAGTCATGGTTGCAAGATTGTGACATTGATTACAATTATCAGTAAAAGACGTTTCTGTTATTTTTACCAGATTATTTTCTGGGTCAGTTACAGTTGTTGAAATGTCCAACTAAAGTTTAGAAACAAAAATAATTATATTGCCAGCATACATTCACCTATAATTATATTTGTAATTTTAAATAATATAACGCTTTTAAATTATTTGATAATTAACTGTTAATTAATTACCGTTGAATTTTCCGGAATGACCATGTTAACGCTAATTGTGAAGATAAGTATAATAATATACAACATCAATACAATTTATAGTACATTATTGTTCATTATTTCCGCGAGGAAATGTCGAATGAGACTGAACAACACGTATTATACGAAGTGCACTAGTGACCTATTATTAATTAAATTAATATAAATCCGATAAAATTATTGATAGGTACAAATAAAACCCAATTTGTTATATAATTATCTAGGTACCTACCATAATCAACACAAAGGAATCAAAAATACAAAGGTCATTGATATATATATATATATAATAGGACATATAGGTACATACATAATATTATATTGTATTATAATTATGCACAAATGGTGGTATCTAATAACTAATAAAATATTATATTTTTTTGTGTGCGTAATTACTTGTTCCCGTGTATAAAGCCGTGTATAATTTTTATTAAAGTTAAAAAATTAGAATATACCATGTACGATTTCCATGTTAAGTCTATACCGGTGCTGGGGCTGACAATGAATACTTGTAAGAATACACCAGTCATGTGGTAGCGAAGACCAATGTTGGTCATATATCACCAGTAACAAATATTGGCCACACCAGTCGTGTGGGACCTGCTTAGGATTGTATATACGTAATACGTATGGATATACGGACAGACAATTTTAACAAATTTTTAAAAAGAAGGTATTAAAATTTATCAATTCAAAAATAATTTTCATTCCAAGTAGAAAATATTAGATAAATAGGTACAATTTTATGTTGAAAGACGTTCACTCTAAAATTTTCATTCTAGTCATAATTTGGTAAAATTTCATATAAAATTGTATGTAGATATATAATGTTAGTTATCTATAAGGCCAAGGGTTAATATATTATTGATATATAAGAGCAAAGAGCTTATTAAAATTATTTAGATTTCATTTTCGAATTATTATGTAAGTCATTATATATAAAAATATTTTTTTCTTTTAAAAAATAATAATATAAATGAATTATGTCATTTTTTAGGTTAAATCAATAATAAAAGAAGTCATAATATCATATTTATTTTTTATTTGATGCGATTATTTTATTTTTAATAAACATACCTACCATGTGACCAATATACAGAGTGATTTACTAAATGGTTAAATATTCCATACATTCAGATTCTGCTTTTTAGAATTTTTAAGTGTAGTTAAAGCGAATATTTTCAAATACTAAGATTTTTCACAACATTTAAGGAGTATTCTGTAGGGACACCAACTTTTGTTTTTTAAATGGGAACCTATATTTTTTTTTATGCAAATTATAAATCAGGTGATTTTTCTGAAATTTTTGACGAATTGTAATCGAAACTTGAACGAAACGTTTCCGAGTTATTCTACTTCAAAATACTAAGGATAATAGTCTATAAGAGATTCGAATATCGATCGTTTCATAGGAGTTTCATAAAAAATATCTTAATTTGTCAGATCAGTCGGTTACTGATGCGAGATATACTGTTATTTAAAATAAAACCGGTATAGTTTTTATTATAAACGATTAGGCTGATTCAATGATACCCATTTACAATAGCGGTACGTGAATATAATTTACGGGGAGACTTATCTAACTTTTACGTAACTATTGGTTATTTATATACATTTTACTTGAAATATTAGTATTTATTCAATGGCGTATCTGATCAACTTAGCTTAAATTAACGTAGTTTTAGATTCTGAGTGGAGCAACTTTTCTGAAAGGAAATCAATGGTTAGAGGTACCATAAAGAGGTCATTTTTCAATTTTCTCAATTAAATGGGAAAAACCGAAAAAAAAAACGGAAAAATGTACGAAATATATTTGTATTCTATTGATATTTTTTTTTTTTGTGAACAACTTTTCTACTAGCAATTTTGCTATAACTTTTAATGATAATGATAATGTGTCCAACTACGCAACATTTTATTGTCAAAAAGCGCAGATTAAGCATATCTAGCTGGGGGGTTCAGGGTATATATACTGGCCGCCGAAAACACCTTTGCATACGTGTCATATCACGATCATCTGCAAGCACCTTCACGTCAGATAGAATTATAAATTTAATTAAAAGTGTTTGAATATTTTTCAAAAATAAATAAATATACTTATAAAATTACTGAGTACAATATTTTCGACTTAGTATACCTGATACAAGGTTGAAAATACGCCCGGAACAATAGCAATTTTTCTAAAAGTAAATTTCACTAAGGGAGGTACTTTAGAGAAGTCATTTTTCGTTATTCTCGATATTTTATAATATTATAAGTAATAGTATAATATATCTGATTATAATAAACTTTTTGTTGTTCGTGGTATAAAAAATTGTTGTAAATTTATTTTATTTTATTAATTTAAATAATACACTTTTAAAGAAATTAATAAATAATAATGATTTAAATAACCTGAGAACCAAATGTCCTATGATCAAAATTTGCCGGGGACCAAACGTCCTATTGGCTATGGCTAATAACTCTCCGGGACAAAACGTCCTGTCTAAATAATTGCCGGGGACGGTAATCCAATTGAGTAAATAATACCTATAGTATAGTAATCTATGGATATTTGGATCAAATATTTGCAATGCTATAATTTATAATCATATAATATTATAATCTATGAACTTTTAGATGTCAAATTTCGTTTATGATAAGAATGTTATGTGATAATAATATGAGGATCGTGATTATGTTGTTATAATCATCATAACCAATGAGAACGTCGTATTCTACGGCGCTGCAGCGTCTAGCAATAATTCTTAATTATTATACCGCTACGGCGCTGCCGGTCCGCATATAACTATGGAAGTGAGCCCTTTTATAATGTTCGCGTATGGTCGTGTGTCGAAATATCGATTTTAGACAACAGTCTACAATAAGCAACTTACGTTTTCTTAAGTTTAACATGTTTTTTGCATAATTCTTAAGATTAACCATGAATTATAATGGAGTTTTGTTGGCTTTTTTATTTTTGGTTATTAAGCTCAACGGATTGTTGTGTGCCAATACTACTGTTTGGGGTGTTGGTTTAAATCCTGTAGTTGTTTTGCCAGCTCGTTATTTTTATGTCAAATACAATGAGAAAATGTAAGTCACCAATATAATATCAAAATATACTTATAGAATTATGTTGATAAAAAAAAATATATCATTAGTAGGTGTTGTGCATGTGAATTGTAAAAAAGCCCATATAATTTAAACATTTTTTACTGAAATGAAAAAAAAAACTGATATTTTTGTACATTTATAAATTGCAACTATATTAATCACATGAATCCTTTCTTTTTAATTTTGAAGAATTATTTATTTATATTTATAATAGGTAAAAAAGACTCTGTCTTACTGTCAATTATATCAGCAGTTTTTAAACTTTTTGTACACGGACCCCTGATGAAAAACTAAAAAATTGCGGACCCCCTACCAATAATTTTTTTACAAAATCTCTCATGTTATCATAATCAATATTTACCAATAGAGCTGACAGAGACCCTCAACATGAATATCGCGGACTCCCAGGGAGTCACGAACCACAGTTTTAGAATCGCTGTACTATACCATACTTTTTTAGCCCCTTGCCATTATGATCCTCATTTGGGCCTTGATGGAATTTGATTTTGTATTTTATTATCTTTTTCCAACAATTACAAAAAAAGGTAGCATTAGAAACAAAATGTGTATTATAATTTATACGTAACTACTATTTTCATTCTTGAATGAAAATAAATGTTAAATCTTTAATGTTATATTTAATTATGTTACAGAACTAATATTAAAAATTTTAATATATTAATAAATGGCAAAACGAAAGTTGGGAATAATTGCCGTATTTGGACAAACATTTTAGACCGAAAAGATTCATCATTTATAGTCCGATACAAATTGTACGAAATTTGTTATGAATTTAATATACTTGTAGAAGATACAAAAGCACATAGGAAGCATGTAAATAATTATTATAAAGGTACCTAACTCAAATATATAATAATATTAAAAATGTATTTAATTTATATATTTTTAAGTACCTCTATAAAGATGTAGTTTAGTTATCTTCAAGAGAGAATTGGAAGATACTAGTTTTGACAGGAAAGGGCCTAGATGACCTGTAAGGCTAAAAAATAAAAATGTTTGTAATACAAAAATATATTTAAAAATAATGTCAAAAGAATTTTAACATTTCATAAGGTAGTCAAGTATTTATCTTTAATAATTTATTAAAATAAAATAATGAAATTGAACCAAACAAATTGTTGTAAAATTATAGCTTTGATGTTTATTTAGTTTATTCAGTTAACCAGTAAATTACATTCAAACAAAATGACAATTTGATACTCAAAATCAATATTTTAGATTCTGAGCAGAGCGAGGAATGTATCGGTGTTACAATGATGCTCATTTATTCATATTTTTTTTAATCTATGAACAAATTTTACCAGAAATTTTGCTCCAATTTTCAAACAGCATTTTTACTGACCAGGGTTGTACTCTAGCCTGATTATTTTTGATTTCCCCAGCTGTTCTCATAACAAATCGGATAAAACATAGGAAAAACGGGAAAATGTATTGTTTTAAATTTTTGGTTTTTTGTTTTGATTCAGTTAAAAATAATTTTAGAGGCTTGAAAACATATAAATTATATTATATGTAATATTATATCTTCTATAGGTGGTAAAATTTGGCCACGTAGCCACATTACAACACTATTAACCGAACTCTGCTTAGAATCTTTTTTGTTAGCAACAGTTAATCAGTGTGTACAGGTATATATTAAATTTTCCCTCTAACTTCCTTACTTTTCACCTACAATATTGTCCAATCATTGTGCAAAGTATGTCTATCTTTTTTGTAATTATTAATATTTTTTTTTACAAACATTTTCTTATTATTTATGAACTTTTTTTTCGCTTTACAAGGCTATTTAAGTCTTTTGCAGTGACTACAAAGATGAGTTTGATCGAGTTTCGATCTTCTGCATCTTCAACCTGATGATTAATATTTTAATAAATTAGTAATCAATATTCTCTATTGATACAGGTCCGATTTATCCAGATGATTGTAGCTGTAAAAAAATGTCAATTAGTAGTTGGTTGGCAAATGCTGAATGCAAAACTGATATCATTCAAATCAATTCTGATCTGGGTCAATTTAAGCAAATAGATTTTAATAAAGCAATAATTAAAATGATCAGATTATTTCAGAAAAACCCACACAGTATTAGTGTTTGTCAATATGTTGTGAAAAACAACTTGGTAAGAAATTGGTTTTTGTCTTATACATTAAATTGTGCGTACATGAAATAAATAGTACTAATTAACTTTTTTTTAAGATATTTCGGAAATGTTATGGTGATTATACTGGCTTTAAACTTTTTATGGACAATTTGCTACTATCTTTAAGTCGAAAAGTAAAATAACTTGAATTTATTGCTTTCAATGTGTTTCTAAAGATTGTATCATCTTGCTTAAATAATAATACCCCTTATTTACAGGTATTTCTACCAGATATGGAATTTTTTGTTAACTTGGGAGACTGGCCATTATCATCACTTCAAAATAAAATGCCTATATTTTCATGGTGTGGTTCAAACTTTAGTGCAGATATAATAATGCCCACTTATGATATTACAGAATCTTCAATTGAAAATATGGGAAGGTATGTGTTCTATTTAAGGTTTTTGGAAAGTAATATTACTCTAATAAAATATGTTTGATTAATTCAGTTCAGTTTATTTAAATTATGCAATTGGTTATATGAAGGGTGAGTTTAGATATGTTGTCAGTTCAAGGCAATATTGATAAAACATGGTCGAAAAAAATTCAAAAAGCATTTTGGATGGGTCGTGACTCCAGTAAACATCGGTTGCACTTAGTGGATATTAGTAAATCACAACCACATCTTATTAACGCATCAATCACAAACTTTTTCTTCTATAAAGAATTAAAACAAAAATATGGTTCTGGAAAAAAACCTATTTCTTTCTTTAAATTCTTTGATGTATGTTAAATAATAAATTATTTAAGAACTTAAATCACATCATGTTTTCTAACATTAACTTTTATTTCTATATACAGTACAAATATCAAATTAATGTTGATGGGACTGTAGCAGCTTATAGATTTCCATATTTATTGGTTGGAGATTCATTAGTATTCAAACAAGAATCTGATTATTATGAGCATTTTTATAATGAACTAATACCATGGGTTCATTATGTACCAATAAAAAGAAATTTGGATAATTTAGTTGAACTGGTTAATGTTATGATTGAGAGTGATCGAACAGCAAGAATTATATCATTGAATGGACAGAAATATGCACGGGACAATTTAGCACCACATAATATATTAGGATATTATTTAGTATTATTTCAAGTAAGTGGCTTAGCTCATTTTTCATTGAAACATTTAAATTTTAATTAATATCAATTTTAGTTTAAATAAAATCAGTTTAGCTTCTAAGACTTAATTTTTTTGGGTCAGAAACAATAGACTGGTACCTTTTAAACCCCTTTACCTTTACTGTTCTTTTAAATATTTTTAAATGATTTTATTAGGGCTTTTATGACGTTTTTAATCACTTTTTTGTGAATTTGAAGTACATATAAAACTGTTCCTTAGTAATTACATTCCACTTTATTGAATGATTTTGAATTTTTATTACTTAAATTATTTATAAATCAAAAAAAATTTGGATATTTTGTAAACTTTTGTAATGCTTTATTTGTATTATGGAACCAGCCACATATTGATTCTACTAAGATGTTTACACAAATGCAATGAGAAATCATTTCTGAAAGGGAATGTTGTCCAAATGGTACTTTTGGGAGATCAGTTATTGATTTTCCAAGCAGTTTTCTTAATGTCTGGGAAAAACCAAGATAAAACTTGAGAAAAACAGAACATTTAAGAAAATAATACTTCTATTATTTTTCAATTTTGTTATTTGTTTTAATTCAGTTAAACAAATTTTTAGACTTGAAATTTTCACATAGAAATTATATTTGTCTTTTTTAGATATGGTAAAATTTTCAAAAAATTTAAGCTATTTTGAGCTATTTACAAATATAAATAAAAAATTTGCGAGTTTTATACCTAATTTTTATTCGGTAGGTACTCTTCGGTGGTAAAATTGTTAGACTTGACACATTTTAAAATTTAACTGGAGGTTCATTAAGGGTCTTACTTTGTAATACAAACAAATTGAGTTTAATATAGTATTTTTTTTTTTTTATAAAGGAATTTTAATTTAAAATTTTGACTAAAATCATTTTAATATGTTTTGTTAAATAACTCCTATATTGTCTCTTTAAAAGAATATTTATCATGACCTAATAGTTATTAATTTATGCTTATTATAATCTTAAGGGACTGAGTACAACTAGTGTGTCAAAAAAAATAAAAGGTTTGCATTTTTTCCCTTTTACCTAAATAAGAAAAAAACAAATGCATTTTGGGTATACCTAGAGACCATCACTCCCTTTGACTATTTTAATCTCAAAATATTACTCGATTTTACCTCCATAATTTAGGGAGGTCATTTTTTGATTTTCCCAGTGGTTTTCATAATATCTGGAAAAAACCAGGATCGGAAACCAGTCAGAAAAAGGGAAAATGAATTGAAATGTAGGTATAAGTAAAAAAATAATATGGCCATTTTTTCTGTGTACAACTTTTCTAGCAGCAATTTCACTTCAATTTAAAGTGAGCATTTTTCTGAAAAAAATTTCTTTGGAGAGACGCTATAGAAAGTTCATTTTTTAATTTTATCAAGTTTTCTCATCAAATGTGAAAAACTAAGAAAAAATTGAAAAATGTAAAAAAAACTAGGAATATGTAGGAAAACTAGGAAAATGCGTACAACGTTAAATAAATATTAATAAAGAAAAGCCTATTTAATTATTTAACTATAATATGACATATATATTATTGACAAAGCATCACTTTCAACTGAATTGCAATAAGAATTGTTTTTTGTTAGTGATGGTTTATCATTGCTTACAAATATACATTAAATTACCTATAACAGTGGCTGCATCCATCTCCATTATCCTAGGATGTCTTTTTTCTAGTTTTTCATTTATAATTCAGAAAATTAATAAATAGTATATAGAAAATCTAAAAAATTTTAAAATATTTTTTTTTTTTTCGGGCACCCAAAACTTACAAAAACATATTTATGAAAGTTAATAAATTAGTTTTTATACTGCATTCAGCTTATTTTAAAAGTACCAAATTAATATTAAATTGTTTTATATACTTTCTATTAATGTACATTTTAGATTCTGAGTGAGAGGGAGGAATATTATTTTTACTGCATAATTTTTTTTCTGGTTATTTTTTTTACCAGAAATCTTAGCCAAAAGATGATAAATTACCATTTTTATTTAATTTTAGACCTAGCTGGTGTATTGTGGAAGACATTTTTTGATTTTCCAAATAGTTTTCAGAACTATTGGAAAAACTAAGGAAAGTCTATAGAAATAACAGTTTCAATGTTTTAAATTTTGCTTTTGTTATTATAATTTGGTTAAAAATAATCATAGAGACCTAAAACTTTCATATAATACTAATAATGATCAATTCTAGAAAGAATTTTCTAGTTTTTATTTAGTGTTTTATGTGGATAAATAAAATTGTTTGACCAAACAGAAATACTTAAAAATTTAACACGAGGTTTATTAATTGTACTTTTAGTAAAAAAGAAGTTGTTGGTAATATTTTATTATTATTGTTATTTTTTTTTTTTTAGTGATAAGATCAAATTTTTGATGAAAATTTTAAATTTGTATTCAAAACATAAATAAAATATGCCACCTTCTCCCCCAAATTGTTTTTCATAAGCAATGGTTTATAGTTGTTTACAGATATAAATTAAATAGCTTTATTTACTTTACCTTACCAACTTCCCATCAACAACAGAATCATTTTAAATTATTTTTTCGTGTTTTAGAAGTATAGCAGGTTGTTAGTATCTACAATTGAAGTACGTGAAGATATGGAAGAAGTAAAAGATGCAATTCCTCCTGAACATTGTGACTGTGAAAATTCACTGCATTTCAAAATGGAGCTTTAAACATAAAATGTTGTAATTTATAATATCATATAGCCTTTGATTTAATTTGTAAAGTGTTGAATGGTATATAAATTATTTGGACTCTATATAGTAGTCACTTGTAGTAGTACTTTTAGAGGCAGTTTACATGCTATAACTTATTGTGTATTTTTGGTCTTGTTAAACAGACAACAAAATGTATAGTTTTTGGACTACACATATTATCTTACATTCAGTTTCAACTTTTTCATTGTTATTGAATCTTTTTGTTTTTTTCTACCCAGTTTCAACTGTAGCTTTATTGTATTTTAGTTCGAGTTAGTGATTTTTGATTGTATGGAAAAAGCACTGTGTATCAGATTTAAACAAATATTTGTGAATGGGACAAAATGTTCAAGGAAAACTTGTGATTATATATGACTTCCCAAAAAATGAACCTTAGAGCAATAAGTCTTAAATCTTGGATTTCATTCTGATTTCATAAAATAGACATTTTTTTGGTTAAATCGTAACATGTAAACACCTTAACTGTATATTTTAAGATCAATAATGTAGGTAGTCATTTTTGACATTACTATTTAAATGTATTTTTTTTTATACATATTGTATAACTAATAATTATTTTATTCTTGCCTATAGTTATAATATTACATTAAATTAAATACTAAATGTTACTTAATATATTTAATATTATATTTTAATTTTTTTTTAACTATCAACAAGTAATCAAACACTGGTTACACTATATATTTTGTAGTCAATTTTATTGTATTCTACTCTATACTTAACTATTTTTATTATAGGTTGAATAATACTATTTTATCTTATAAATAATATAACTTTGATCTTTTGAATCTGCCATGTGTATTGTATTTTAAAATGTCTAGACATAAGGCCTATGACACTGCATTTGCAACTTATGCTTCAATGCTATCATTAATTGTATTAAAGACTTATTCTGTAGTCAGACTATTGTATCTAATAAGTATATAGTATAAAATATAATTAATTTAAAGTGATTGTAGGTATAATTGAAGATTGATTTTTTAAACATTATTATTTGATCATTAGACAACACATTTATCATGCTCAATTTTATTTTTTATAGAAACAATCAAAATAGTTTTCAGACTAAACTTTATTGTAGTTATTGTTAACAAATTAATATAATATCAATATTTCTACATGATAATATCCTAATAATGAAAAACCCAGTTAGTTTTAAAATAGCAAGTGTTCAAACAGGAGTACAGGCCTATAATACTGCTATCATTTATCATATAGTCACACGACATATAAAATAAAATTTAAAACAAAATTGACAATGATAGGAATAAATTTGGTAAAAAGAAAATTAATTTTTAAATTCTGAAGGAAGGATTTATTGGTTTTCCAATGATGTTTATTTTTTATTTTTGAATAACTTTTCTACCAAAAATCTTGCTTTGATTTATAAGTGTAGCATTTTTTCTGAAAGGAAATCTGACTGGGGAGATATTTTATTAAGGTTATTTTTTTGATTTTCCTAAATTTTTTCCTAATTAATGAAAAAAACAGGAAAATAGGTACAATATTAAACAAATATTAAAGAAAATATATAATGCCTATTTAATTATTTTACTATAATATAACATATATATTGTTGACAAAGCATCACTATCAACTGAACTCCACTCAGAATAGTTTTTTCATTAGCAATGGTTAATCCTTGATTACAGGTATACATTAAATTACTTATAACAGTGGCTGCACCTGTCCTCATTAACCTAGGACAATTTTTTAATTTATCATCCATTGAAACATTATTAGATATATATTGTTGAAGAATAATTATTATTTTCAACATAATAAGTTATTTGATACAAATAAAATGAATATTGTTAAATTTTAGTCATTTTAATTAATTATTTACAAAATATAATACAATTTTTTTATTTTTGCACAAATCACTGTTATAGCATTTTGAGTTGTAAACTTTTTTAATTTGTCCACCTTGCTAATAAAGATTGGATCCACCCTTCCACTACGCACTGTGGGGATTAAAAGTAGTAATCTTGTATTTAGACAATTTTGAATCCAATTTCAATCTGTCAGTGATCTTTACATTAGTTTTAAATGATCATTAGTGTGAGTGTGGCTTTGTCTGTGTACCACCACCCACACATTTTTTGTGCTATGTTTTAGCTGTTTTGTGCAGAAAATTTGGATGAACTGTAAGAGTTTTTTAGTGGGAGAGATGGAGGTAATAGTAAATGACATTAATTCAACCTATACTGTATTACTATTTAATAATGTGTTATAGAAAAATAAATTACTTTAATATCAACAATATCATAAAATATACTTAATGTAGGCTAATAATTCAAATTTATCTACAAATAAATAATCCTAATAATTATTACTTTTAGTTATTATTTTTTACTTCATTATTTATTATGGCAAGCCAAGCCAATATTCCAATTCAGTTAATGAACAGAATTGAATATTTAAACATAAAATTAATAAATACCAATATGAATATTTACTTCAATAAAACTTTTAAGAAATTGAAATTTGTTCCAAAATACAACAATATACATATCAAATGTATATCTGAAGCTGCAATCAAATCCAAGAAAGGAGGAGAGATAATATGGTTAAACTCAATAATAACATTTGTATTCGGTCAAAAACACGTAATAGTAGGAGAGATTAATAATTTAGAAACAATTTTATCCAAAAATTTGAACCACTTACGAATTTCACACTTTAAAAATCACTTTCGACAAAAATTACATAAGAAAAATGAGAAATGGCGAAGGGTAAATAATAAAATTAATACTTTAGTAGCACAAAATACACAGAAATTGCAACTTAAAAACCAGCATTCTTTTCAACCACGAGTTACTTTTTTAACTTCTATAATTTTCAATAAAGTTCAAAACAATTAATTAAATATAGGTTATAAATTCTATACATATTAGACATTAAACTTTCTTTTTTAACTTCCATAATTATCAATAAAGTTGTAAACAATTTATTAAATAAAGGTAATAATTTAATACATATCAAACATTAAACTTTCAATATAAATTAATAAACAGCACCAATAAAAACTACAAAAATAAACCTGATAAAATATTAAAACAAAATAGTATAGTTAAATGACAAAATACAATTATTAACAACATAGTGAATAAATTAAAAACAAATAATTCAGAAATAGTTGCGGTAGATACATCTATTGTTATCATTTATACTAATGAAATCCATAAGAAATCTTTAGATTTTATAAATAATAATATTATTCTAAACTTAACATATGACCCCACTATAATTTACACTAAACAAATTAATAAACTTATAACAAATTCGAAAAAAGTCATATCTAAGATCCAAAAGAAAATATTATTAAAATCTGATTACAAAATAGAGACTTCCACACTTGCATCCATTCATAAAATTACATGAACAAGATAATCCAATTCGTCCATTAATTAACTTTAAAACCTGTTCCAGGTTTTAAAAACCTTGATAAATGTTTATACTCTCCCATAAAAGAAAAATTAAACATCAATACTAATACTTCTATAAAAAAAACATTTATGATTTAATTGATAAAATTAATAAAATAATTATTTTGTCAGGTTACAAATGATTTCTCTTGACGTCAAAAATTTATATACATCCATTACTAAACACGAATCAGTAAATTTGTTTAAAAAATAAACTTATACATAGGTAGCAATAAATTCAATACAAACGAAGTGCAAAAAATTCTTCAATCAATAAATGAAATTATTAATCAAAACTATTTCCAATACAATAATAAATTATATTCGCAAAAAGATGGATTAGTTATAGGTGGTCCTTTAAGTGCTCTTATCTGAAACTTCTACAGTTGCTATAATAAACAATAAATTTGATTTTATTATTTATAGGAAACCTACGCAAACTGATGCTAAAATACCACATGATCCTAATCACCCTTATTTTTAAAAAATATCATTTTTTGAATTCAATATTCTATAAGCTTGAACGTATTCCATTAAATAAACATAATTATCAACACGAGTTCAATATAGTCCATAGAAATAATTTCAATTTAAATAGGTACTATGAAAAAATGCATAAACGTATAAAAAATATATAATACACACTCAGAAGTCTGGTGTTGAATCTACACACTCTGGTACTGATTTAATACACAACTGTGTTTTGATTTTGAGCTTGGCATTAGTTTCACATCAAGTTAAAATAATTACCTACTATTCGTTGCTATAGTAAGACTCATAGTGATTAGTTGTTAATTTGCTATTAGTTAATTTTAAAATAAGTACAGTTCATATCCTATCTTGATTTAAGTCACGACATAATAATAATAATAATAATTGATGATGGTGTTAAAACTACTAAATGGAATGTTGAAAAAAAATCTTTTAATTAAAAAAAAAAAGTTTATCAAAATTAGTTGCACTACCAAATTGTACGATTGGTTAAATGGATATATAACTGTTACGTAATATTATTGATTTTATCATATTTAATGTATAAAATACAATATTTGTTTGGTTGTCCGTTTATTCGTATTTTATGCGCTGCCATACTTTATAATAAAATAATGCATCTACATTTATTTACTTAAAATGAATACAAATATAATATTATAGGTACCTAATCCTATGGACATAGTATATATTAAATATACAACAAAAAATACAAATATTAATCTTAATATTTAAGAGCTTTTCTATACACTTCACCAATATCATATACACTTAGTCCATAGTATCTCACTAAACATATTATTTCCGAGGAAGACATAATTATACATCCGTTAGTTATGCTAGTAGAACTTATTTTTAGTGGAGAATTTTTAATTTCATTTTCACCATAATCAAAAAATTCTATTCGACTATTTAAAATGTCAAGAGATGTATAATATTTTAAATCAATTAGATATCATTTTCCATCGGAATTACAATAGTTAATGTGGAACTGACATCAGATCTCGACGTCACTTTGAATAGGAAATTAATATT